TTCAGATATGACTTCGGTCACTACGTGGCTTCGGTCACGAGTTCAGTTATCAGTTATGTGACTTCGGTCGCGAGTACGTGACTTCGGTCGCGAGTTCAGACCGGTATCAGTTATCAGTTCAGTTCAGATAAATATATGCTTAGTTCATGATATTGTTATTATTTACAATGTTTACATTAGTATGAGTTTCCACGGAGCACAGTGCCTTAGTGCTCACTCCCCAGTTTTATCATGTCTTTCAGGTTATGAAGTCGGGCCGGAGGAGTGAGATGACGGAGCTGTTCGGGATTATGCTTATAAAGTTTAAATTACCTAAGCTTTATGCTTATAAAGATTAAATTACGTTTTGTACAGTTTGAATTTGGCATAGCAAAGCCGTTATTACTTTCAGATAAAATGTTTTCACGACTACGGCATTGCTAACCAAATTCCCAGCTACAGCTTTCGCTGATGTTTGACTGTTTGTCATACTTAGCCCTTTTATCAGTCAGCAAGCTGTTGACAATTCACTGTTAGTTCAACCGAAGTCCATTATCAGTTCTGCGAACAGTGAATTCGTCTAGTTTTATCAGTCATGTATTAGTTAACTTTTGTAACCCAAAAGTTTCAGACTTTTCAGTCAGTTATGTATTTTAGTAACACTCCGAATCAGTATTTCGCAATGTAAAACGTTTTATTTTGAATGTAATTGCGAGTTGCGCACTCTGATGTTTATGAAAAAGCGGGGTGTTACATCTTGGACTTGTCATCTTGTCCTGAGGTACAAACATACTTTCATTTATTTTTTGTTTTCACCTTTTCTTTTGCTTTGTTGCCAATACAACTGCTCTATATATGGAATCATTTTACAGGTTTTGGTGGACTGACATCTTAATGGCTCAACAAAGAAAGATGTTTCACTTGAATTCGTTTTTTTTTTCTCCTTTTCTATCTTTAGATACTTTTGTGTATACACACTTCATTGATATGATACATCGATTTATTTTTTGGCAGCAACCTTACATTCGTTCAGTTGTTGATTAATTGAGATGCTTGAATTTGTTTCAAATGCATGAGTCAATTGTTGGGAAGTGGCCCTGGTTGTACATTTTGTTTTTCGAGTTATAAAATTCATCGTTTCGAAAAAAAAAGTTCAAGTTCTCATTTCCTTTTCCTATATATATATATATATATATATATATATATATATATAAGGGATCATATGAGAATGGTAGATAGTGAAAGAAATAAGAATGAATCTACTCCATTGGATTCAACGTATGAAGGGCCATGATCAAGTCAATTTAAAATATATCAGTCAAACCTGTTGTGGCACTTTTGTAAATAGGTGTACAATTTATGGTCAAATTTTTACATTTGACTAATAAATAAGGGCAAAC